AAAATGCATATTCAATAGAGAATGAGAATGTGTGAAATGTATGCCAGAAATAGAAAAAGAAATATCAAGATGAAATTCCAGCTGGGAGGGATTCCTAGAGCTATAGGGGGAAAACAATCTCTGGCTGAATTTATGGAGGAGTTTGCCGGCAGATGGCCTTTTGTAATCTGCACCATCTGTGTTGTTGATCAGTGAGGTCAAGGGTAGAGTTACTCACTGTTGGTTTTCTCCCAGGACCCCTATTCTGGTCTCTTCACCATAACAACTTGTCTATCTTCCTTGCATTTATTTTGCAAAGTGCTGTGGATGATGAGCTGTCTTCTCATCAACCTGCTCAGGGTTGGGGGAGACCTGCCAACAGATGTAAAAGGCCTCCCGTTTCAATGCAGAGATGTCGTGTTCCTCTCTGCCAGAGAATCAGGAAATGTGTTCAGGGCCTGAGTCAGATAGTTGCTGGCCTCCATATCACGATTTAAAAAAAAAAAAAAAATTCTTTCCCTGAGAAGCAAAGGCAGCCATGTGGACCCCATTCATATTTGTAGAAAAGTGAAAAGCATTCACTTACAAAAAAGAGAGATGAATTTCGTTTTTGGAAACTAGGCAAATGGACAAGTAGTTCCAGTATTTATTTAAATGATTCTCTTCTAGTACAGATCCATACCTAGGCTGTATCTACAACTATAGCCATTGTCTATATGGCAACTCCTTTATGCTTTGATCACTTGCCCTGAGTCTCCTTAAGAGCTGATTTTTAAATTTACCTGTGGCCACTACTTTTTTTTATCTTTCAGCCTTCTTCTCTTTCTCCCTTGAGTTATTTTCTCTCATGTACTTGGCCTGATGACTTAAGTAATGGAGAGAAGAAAACCCCCATGAGAGGAGATCACAAATGGGCCTCTGCCTTTCATCCTGGCTCCCAGGGAGACACTGTAGCATAGTGTATGTGTACACGCACTTACAAACGAGGCTTCCTGGGTTCAAACTCCAGGTCTTCTCTAGTACTCCTGGTATGATCTTACCAAGTTTATCCACTTTGATAAGCTTAGATTTACTGGTAAATGAGAATAAGCCAGAACTTATTAGGTTGCTGTGAGAATTGATTAAGGTAACCCTTTTAATATTCCCTGGTTGCAGGAAATATCAGATTAATATTTGCTGTTGTGGTGAATTGTGGTGTCAGGTAAGATCAGTGGACACCAGTTCACGATCAGCCCTTATGATAAATCTTACAGAATTGTGAATGATTTGGGGTGTGTCCCTTTCTTTAATTCCCCCTAGCATGTGGAAAGAAATTGTCCTCAGCTTTAATTGTGCTCCAGCTCATCACATATATAAGGGAAAAATAATTGGTTTTGCTAAGGGTGGGCTTTGAATCTAGGGCAGAAATTTGATGACAGTCCAGACATTGAATAAGATTCTATTTATAATAAGAGAAAATATAGCACTGTACACTCAAATTTGACATCTAAGCCTAGAACAAGAAGTATTTCTTGCAACAGAATATAAAACAGAATAATTTGTGTTATATTTTCTTGTTATTAATTTTTACATTTTATATATTTATATTATATCACATATACTTATATTGTATATAATTCTGTGAATATATATTTTATAATTTATATATGCTCAGGGCTTAACATGGCAACCAATTCTTGAAGCTTGTTATGGAAAACAAACATCTTCCGGTCTCACCAGCACCAATTTCTCTCTCTTCTGAGGCAACTACTTTCCACTAGATTGGGTTTTCCTGGTATGTGTTTAGTCTCTAACATTCTTAGGTGGCAGATATTTGGTTTTTCACTTGCAAACATTTCCCACTAACTTTGCAGTGTCAAAGAGAAGGATATAGGTCTCTTTTAGCCCCACCCAATGCTACTACCCAACATCCTATCAATCCCAAACAGCTTTGAGTTTTAATAGACAGTAGTCTGTTTAATTTAGTATGACTGTATTACCATTCTTCATAACTGAGTCATTAATATATGATTCAATGTTATTGTTTTACTTGAGTTTTATAATTGCCTATGTTGTTGTTTTTTGTTTTCTCAGTTTTTTTAAGTTCTGTTCCTAGAACTCTCTAACCTCTTCTCTGTAGATTCAAAATTATCAGACATTTCATCAATTTTCTCCTTTTGGCATTATATCCTCTGTAGTCTTCTAAACCTGCTCTCTAAGACTGCTGCAAAAGTTTCATTTGGAAATTCCTTTTACCTTTCTTCTATAATATTTCACCATTATTTTGAAATGTTCCTTCAATAATTGTTATAGATTCTAGTTGCTAAGTGTTATGTTCTATTATAACCTGATTTTATATAACAAAGGACTCATTCCCTGATTTTGATGGAGTATGTCCTCCAGTAGTTTTTCTTCCAGAAAGAGTGCATCAGAGGTAAAATTATTAAGACAACTGAAGTTTTGTTTATTCTTTTCACATCTTTAATTAATAAGTTGTTTGGGCATAGAATTCCTTGTTGAAGCCATTTTCTTAATGCTGAAGACACCTCCATTTCCTTCTAGCTTCTGTTTTTTTTATTTTTTTTAACTATAATGTCACTTTTGTTTTGATTCTTTATAATAAAATTTCTCTCTCTCCCCGCAACCCCACTCCTTTCCTTTTTTTTCTTTTTTTCTTTGGCAGTGCTGGGGATTGAACCCAGAGCCTCACATTCTAAGCAAGCATTCTACCACTGAACTACATCTCTAGTACCCTCTCCTTCTCTCCTTTCTCTCCTTTTTAGTAGTTTTTAAGATCTGTACTAAGTATTCTGAAAATACATGATTAAGCATCTTGCATGCATTTTTTTTTCCACTGTGCCAGACACTCAGTGGGCCTTTTGAACTCTGAAAATTAAAACGTCTTTAACTTCTGGAAATTGCTCTTTAACTATCTAATTATTTACTTCCCTCTGCTTTCTGGAACTACTGCTCTTCAACTGCTGGATCTCTTGTTCTCGATTAAAGAGAGTGATAAGCAATAGTTGAGCTACGTGAAATGAAGGAAAACGTTTGAAGATTAAATTCTTGAAGAACCTTTTCAATTGTCTTGCTTTCAGTGCAATCTTTAACACCACTTCCAGAACTTTCCCCACTACCAGATGAATGAATGGTCAAGTATTCTGCTTTTCAGCTTCCAAAACCATACCACTTTGCTCATCTCTTCTAGTCTTTGTGGCTTTTGAGTTTATAACTTGTTTAAAATACACCCTTTTCTATTATCTTGTTAGAGTGTAATAAGAGTGATAGTAATATATGTGCTCAGTTTGCCATCTTTAACCAAAACACCAAGGCATTTGTTAAAAGAAATTCAAAATTGATATTTGCCTCATGTTCAAAGCCCATTGGCATGATTATGATACACAAATATTCAAGACCTTTTATGACCTGTGGCAAATGAACAATCTAGTCCAATTTAATCTGCTCCATGGATGGTGAGAAATGACTGCAGATTCTGAGTTTACCATACACACAGAGCGAGATGAAAGAGTAAGGAGGACTTTGTATTTGCACTGAAGTGATCTCTGAGGTGTGACTCCTCTTCTGGACAATACTGTCATTAGTAACTTAGAGCTGCAAAATCAAAACCTAACAAGGAAAGATTAGCAACAGAAAATAGCTAAGTGTCAGTATAACAAGTGGAAGCATATGTTTAATGGGAAAAGATGGGCCTCATTATTCATTTATGGTTCTATTTAAGTCATATCTTTCATGCTATTTGAAACTAGAAATCCCTCTCTGGTTTGACTCTGCCTGGGCTTTGTAGATGGCACAGAAGTCGAGGGACAGCAGAGGAGGAAAAGCCTGTCTTGAACCTGGGATCCCTAATTCCCATTATCTTTGGTGCACTGTGTGACTGTCACTGGGCCACTTGAGAGTGCCGACCTTTGCAGTGTCCTTTTACACTTAGTAGGCCAAGGGCAAAAGTGGCCAAACAAATGTGCTCTGGACATGGGGTGACAGATGCTGTTCTAGGGAGGAAGGATGCAGGGAGCTCTGAGTGACAGCCCAGAGACCAGCTTCTGGCATGGCTCTGTGGACATTCCCAGATATTTTCATAAGGGTCTTCCAAAAGGAACCTATCTATGAACAGAGAAAAACTACTAAGTGCCCCTCAAAAAGAGACTTTGAACTTTTCCCCTAGAACAGGGGTCGGAACCTGGTGCCCACAGCTCCCTGCATATCCCCATGATGCCCAGTCCTGTCCCCACTGCCCTCCTTATTAAACCCAGAGACCTTCTTCTCCTGCAGCTCTTGGTGCCTCTAGCAGGGTGCCTACTGATCTGGTCTCAACAAAGCCAGCATCTTTTTATGGGGACATGCTCCCACTATTAAGATGAAAATTTTCTCTAGAACCACTAGGCAAATCAGTTAATGCCAGCCAGCAGGGCCAAGCACATAACAGAAATGAGGCAAGAGGGCTCTGAGGGGACTGTACAAGGGGCTTTCCTGAGCCCAGCTCAGGTGCTCCTTCCATGCAGGAATAGCACCTGTGTCAGACGTTACAGTCATTGACAAGTTAAGTCGGCACCTCTCAAGCCCTTGATGTTCGGGACGTTAGGCAGACCTGTTCCTGGGGGCAGGAGAGTCCTTCAGTGAGTACCTACTCTGGGCTCTGTGGCACCCTTCTCAGCCCGGTGCCAGGACACCCAACCTTCCCTCTTTTCTTTGCAGGAGTCAGACGTGGGTCACAGTGGGGTGGATGATGCTCCCAGTTCCCCTGGGTCCCTTCCCATTGTCTGTCACTGGCCATTTCCCCCTAACCCAGTTGTTGCAGTTGAATTCTGTCTTGGTTATCTGCCTCTCAGAAGATTTAGACTGAAACGCCTAAGGACCCTCAATAAATTCCCATTGATTGGCAAACTGATCAGGTCCCGGACAGCAGACGTAGGTATGAGATTGTCTCTGGTTTATCATGGGTCAGAGCCTGCAGGAGTCATGCTGTTTCACTTGCACGGTCTGATACACTGTTGGGTGTTCTTTTTGTGTCCCTTCTCCTTTAGGTTGTGGCTCTCTCCTCCTGGTGTCTGCTGAGGGACTCCATCTACTACACGCTGTCTGTGGTCGCGCTCATTGTGGTAAGTTGCTCTCACTTCTCGGCACCAGGGCCATGTGTGGCTCTTCCTTTTGTCTCAAGGACACTGGTGGAGAGTGAGCAAGTGTCTATCTATGCATGGAGACGGACTTTGTTTCTTCCAGTTACTTTGATCACCCAGAACCCCTGATTGGCCACGGGGTGCTCAGGACAGGAGTTTTGACATACATCATCTGAGTCCATGAGAGTTCCGTGACCCTCCTTTCCTTCTCACCTGTCTCACGGCTCTTGGTGACTCCCTTCCCCAGGATCCCCATTTGGGGAACTTATTTCTTCCCCTTCCCATTCTGTACGCTCTCCCAGAACATTCCCTTTCCTGCCCCAGCACCCCTTACCATGGCCACCTTGGTGCCAACACCTCCACACCTGCATTCCTAGCCGTGACCTCTCCCTGAAGTCCAGATGTGGATAAATAACTCTCTGCTAGAGTCTTTATGCACCAAACTCAACATGTCTCTGACTAAACTTTTGATGCGTTCTCCTATATTTCATTCCCCATTCCTATTCTAGCCATCCAACCCAAAAATATTAAGTTGATCTTTCCCGCAATTCAGATTACACCCATTCAGCTTATTTGGCCTGTGGAGTTCCTTCTCATAAAAATCTCCTCAGCCTGCACTCCCATTTCCCACTGAGGTTCATGCTTTCTGCATCCATGGCCTGAACTGAGAGAGCATCTGTGCTACAGATCATGGCAGGTCAGGTTGCAACACAATAGCATGACTGCCCACCCTCTCCTACTCACCAGTCAATCCTCAAGAGCCATCCAAATGTCTAGCAAGAATACCTGTGAATGCCAATTTCTTGATTAACCATCAGAGGCTCCTATGGGGAAAAACTCCAATACCTTAGCTTGCCAAGCTGAGCCCTCCGAGAGAAGATGGTGGCAAATTGGAAAGAACAGTGACATAGGAATTAAGAGATCTGACTCCTAATTCTGGTCCCTGCATGTGATGGTTAATTATACATGTCAACTTGACTGGGGGATGCTGGTGAAATTTTTTTTCCCCCAGGTGTGTCTGTAAGATGCTTCCAGAAAAGAATAGTATTTGAATCAGTGGGCTGAGTAAAGAAGATCCCTCTTACCAACGTGGATGGATAGCATTCAATTCCTTGAGGACTCAAATAGAACAAAAAGGCAATGGAAGAGTGAATTTTCTCTTTCTGCTTAAGATGGATCATTTGACTTCCTCTGCCCCGGACATGAGTGCTCCTGGTTATTGGGCTTCCTGACTCGAACTGTCACTTATTCTATTGGCTCTTTGGTTGTCAAACCTTTTTGGGTTTGGACTGAACTGCATTGTTGGTTTTTGTAGATGGCAGATTACTTCTCAGCCTCCTTAATAATGTGAGCCAATACCTCATTATTAATCTAATGCACACACGTAGGCATGTATGTGTATATATGTACACATATAATTTCCTATTTGTTCTGTGTGTCTGGGGAACCCTGCCTAATATACCTCCTTTCTAGCTCTAATGACCTTGAAGAAACCAACTGCTCTGGCTTCAGTTTTCTTACCTACAAGACAGGAAAAGCTGCACTAAGGGATCTGCACACCTGTTTCACAAAGCCTTTACCTATAGACTGTGTTATTGCAACTCTCTGTGTCAATAAGATAAATATGATGTTTGATAAGAGACTTTTCACAAGAAGCCAGACAGGTTCTTCAGTTCCTGATGTTGAAAATCTTGGGTTTACAAATCATCACAAGGTCTGCCCTGAAAATTGGGTTATACATGCTGCAAACCCTATCCTCCATAGCTCCCAGGTTCAAAAAGGAATAACTGGGAGGATTGAGCAGAAGGGGTTGGAATGCTCTGTGGGAACTGATGACATCCTCCATCTTTTAAAGTCCTGGTTCATAGACCTAAGGACACACGGGAATGTTGTGTTCTTATTCTCAGTTGCTATCTGTGGGAAAGGTTTGATCATCTGTCACCTAGAGGTCTCTTCACCTCAGCCAGATTTCCCAAACACTCTTTCTAGCAAGATTTGTGCTTCCGTGGACCAACCCAGGCTGCTCAGTGCACCGTGCCCTTCTGGCCCTTCTAGGGTATTTCAGGATGATTTTTAAATTTTAAACTTATTTTTTCAAGAGACACATTTAGAAGATAGTGTAAGTGAACACAACTATGTTGCTAAAGTCCAGAAAGAGATGACTAAGCTCATAAAGAGATGTCCTGGAAGCACAGACTTAGTGATTCCCCTCCCAACAGTCTTTCCCTGCTTTCAGCATAGACACCTCACGGACTGTGTGAAATAACTTGTCTTCTGTCCAGTGTATCTTGACTTGTCCAAGATAAAATAAATATAATGGCTGCTAATGATGTGTGAAGAAGTAAAGAGGTTCTGCTGCTTCTGGCCACAGATGACACTGTCACCCAATCCTGGTCTTTGGGCCGAGCCACCATCTTCCCTCAAGGTGTGGTACCTAAATCACAGGACTGAGTAGCTGAAGGAGCAGGCTGCCAGGGCAGCTCTGCTTTTCTTGCAGACAGAGACAAACTGCAAGATAAAATGAGTCTTTGCTATCACCTGAAGATTTGGACTCTGTGTTTATAGACCAGTTGTTTAAAATTAGAGTTGTTTTGAATCAAACCTAGATTTCGAGGAAAAAATCACATTTCTTCATGGTCAAGAAGCGATGGAAAATATCAGGTTTGAGTCTTCAAGGCTAGGTCTTGGTTCTCACTTGGTTCCATTTCCTTCCTGTTCTCTCTCTTGCTTCTTGGTTTATGATGTGAGCAGTTAGCTTCCCTCCTGCCATAATGTGCCAACCTTGCCAGAGGCCCAAAACAATAGGGCCGCTTGGAAATGGACCAGAACCTCCAGGATCATGAACTAAATATACCTTTTTTCTTAATAATTGCTTTGACGTGGGGACACTGTGAAAGTTACTTTGCTGAGTGCTGTGCTTCTTGTAGGGAGACTCTGTTTTGCTTCTTAGGTAAGATTTTGAGTCTCAAAATCCTCTACCTTCTGTGGGCATTGAAACAGGGGCATGCTTATTTGAAATGCAAAACCCAGGGAATTTCATTCCATAGATTCTGGGTGAGGATCCAAGAAGTTGCATTACAACCAGCATCTTCCTGACCTCTAGAGGACGGGGACGCTAGCAGCCCTACACTGCATTTTGAGAAACACAACTTTATGGCTGAAAACACTTTCCCCTGGGTATTCACTTGAGGCCTAGCAATGATGATTTTTAGAATCAATTTAAAGATTCCCAAAGGAAAAGAAATGCTGGCAGTCTAAGTAGCTTTCCTTTGCTTGGATTCCTGACTTCTGTTCTTCTGGGTGGATTATTTGAATCTTGTTAACTGGTAGTCACGCTCCCCAGGGTCATTTGCATGTGAGACTCAAAATCTTACCTAAGAAGCAAAACAGAGTCTCCCTACAAGAAGCACAGCACTCAGCAAAGTAACTTTCACAGTGTCCCCACATCTAGATTCCATGCCTCAACCTCAGGCCATAGCTCACACACACTCTAGCTTTTGTCAAGGTTTCCTACTCTCTTTCTAGGTCTCCCCAAATATCAAGATAATAAAATCATTTTTCTTCCAGTTTTCCTTATGTAATACAGATTTCTTTATAAGATTCTTCCATAGGAACTTAAAACTCCTTTATTTAAAACTACCTTCCTCCTATCCACAAAATAATTATTAACCTTCCCAAACAATTTATGTAACTATTAGAGTTTTTTTTTTAATACTTTCTCCCATTATATGGTTCTGAAATGTTCAGAAGGCATAACTGTTGGTCCCCTGAGGTTGGAAAATAAAGAGCTCATTCACCCACAGGGTAAATCAGGATTAAATGGGACCAGATGCCATTTCTATATACATACTCATCAGGGGGTCTTTCAAAGACACACAGAGGAGCCTCAAGGACAAACCACGGGGCCTGGAGATCCAAACAGCAGGCAGAAAGGCTTCTCCTGAGATGCTGGTGGCAACGAAGGGGCAGGGCACTCAGAATCCAGAGGAAAGTGCAAATAGCATTGCTATACCTGAAATCTCAATCAGCAGAAATATAAGCAGATGCAGATGGGACACGAACAAGGCGGAAAGCAGAAACACAAAAGTAAGAAAAGCAAATGCATTGTGCAATTAACAGAGCAAAAACAGTTCACGTAGAGGCCCAGAGTCAGTACACTTTGGTATTTGGGTTTCACCTAAACTTCCCTCTGTGCTATTTTCTAGTTTGCTTGTTTGTTTGCTTGTTTTTAAGAGGCTACAGAAGAAATTAAGAACGTGTCATTTTCTAAAGCAATCATAATTTCAAGAACTAAATTATATAGTTCTCATGGCCCTTCCCCCACCTCAGTCAAGCATGCCCATTAGCCCTTGTGACACTGAAGCATCAGACCATGGAAAAGCTTGATGTGCCTGGAAGCTCAACCGATGACTTCAGTCTCTGCAAGAAAAGTGTCACCTCTTAAGCCGTGGGAGCATATGGGCTCTTTGGAGTGCATTCCTGTGTGTATCTACCCTACAGGTCCAACAAATGTCTGCACACCATCGCAGACTCTCCTGCTGCTTCTCTTCTGCCCCTCTCTCTGATCATTTGGACCGTGGGCGTCTCGGGCCTCCTGGTCCTGCCCTTTCTCCAAATTCCAGCAGCCCTGTCAGTTTTCTTATATTGAAATGTTACTGTAATTTACATAATCATGTAATTTACATAAATGCAAAATGATTCATTACATCACCAGTCTAAACAGCTGCCCTAAAAGAAATACTTTATTTTTACCCTTCATCTCTGCTTGAGGACAGGGACTGTGAGCATTGACAGGAGGGAAACCTGTGGAATAGGTTTCCCATAGCTTGGGCTGAGGCTGAAGTCCAGTTCACAAGTGCTATCTATCTACAGATGATGGGCCAAGGAAGCCATAGACCCCAGTAGGGGTGGTTCCTCAGGGCACCTAGGCACAGGCACAGCAGTGAGGCTGATCCAAGCTAACATTTCCATCTCCAGAGGAC